TAACACGATACCAGTTTGAGGCAATTGCAATCAGGTTTGACAAATACCCGGGTTTTTATGAGTATTGCCCAGCCCAGTGGGAAATACTGGGAAAACCCGGGTTTTACTCGGTTTTACCGGGTAATACTGGGCAATACTGGGTAATATGAAATACTGGCCTGAATTTTAAAGAGGATTAATCACAAATGCAATACATTAAAGATTTTATAAAAATAAAATATAATAGTATTTTAATCTATAAGTTCACTTGTTTGAGACTCTTTATATAAAGTTGTAAATCTGAGAAAATATTAATGGTTCAGCAACTCTCAAGACAAGTGTACAGGAAGATACACAAGACAAATGTGAAAAGCTTTTCAAAATAATCCTCCTAAAAATCAACTTATCGCCCTTCTGGTTTTTTTTTCATAAATATAACTAATATTAAGAATTAAAAATAATATGCAAGGAAAATTACTTTTAAACATTTTTTGTTCATTACTAAAAATGTTTACTAAGTTTTGGCATATGTTTATGAGGGGGGCAAGGGGTTTAACTGTTATGCTGTTTTGGGGCAATTTAATTCTTTGTTATCTGTTATTGTCTTATTCCTTGTTAGTTGTTATTGGACTATTAGTTTTTTTGTTATCTGTTATTGTGAGAATGTATTTGCTGTTAACTGTTATTGAAAATTGGAATGTTAGCATTTTGACAGCCAATTTTCAGTAGAAATTGAATTGGGATCTTTCCACTAGTAACATGGTGGTCCCGTATTCGGAGAAGGATTCAATTAACATATAGACATTTGAATGGGTTTACAGTACACTAGTCATTTTTGGGGCCCTTTATGGCTTGCTGTTCGGTGTGAGCCAAGGCTCCGTGTTGAAGACCGTACTTTGACCTATATTAATGGTTTACTTTTACAAATTGTGACTTGGGTGGAGAGTTGTCTCATTGGCACTCATACCACATCTTCTTATATTTAATCACATAAACATTTTAATATTAGTTGGGTCCAGGACCATTACAGTATATATTATTACTATCCTTTGTAATTAATTCCTTTTGCTATGAACATGTATTTAGAATTATCTTGATTTTAACGTATAGGGATAACGATCCTTGTTTCCCTGTATGTGTATATTAAATTCGAACAATTCTTTTAAAATATTACAAAAATTCGTAAGGGTTCCGCGGAACCCAGTACTAGTGTCTCGCCTACTTTTGATGTTAGTTGCAGGCTCAACAAAATGGGTAAAAAGTTATCAAATAAATGGGGAATGTGTCCATGGGACACAGATGATGCCCCCGGTTGCAGATCATATACAGTTATAAAGGGACGTAACTGAAGAACAGTAAAAGTGAACCTACCCAAATTTGTACTTGATCTGAGTTTTGTGGTAATACGTATTGTGTATAAGTTTCATAAAATTTGGTTGATGCAAACTTAATTTACTCGGAGAACGAAAAAAATCAGCATTTTTTCCAATTGTAAAGGGGCATAACTCTAGAAAATTTAGTGACAACCCCAAAATTCAAACTTGATCTGTATTTTGTGGTAATAAGCATTGTGTATAAGTTTCATAGCATTTGGTTGGGGCAAACTAAAGTTAGAGAACGGAAACGAAAAATTCAGCATTTTTTTCGTTTGTAAAGGGGCATAACTTTAGAACGGTTACAGTGACACCACCAACATTCAAACTTGATCTGTGTTTTGTGGTAATAAGCATTGTGTATAAGTTTCATAACATTTGGTTGAGGCAAAACTGAAGTTAGAGAACGGAAAGCAACTTTGGGATAGTTTAAGAAAGTTATTAAAATTTTTAAAACTTTAACCACAGAATGAATGTAATGTAAACTGGCAGAAAACTAAGTCCATTTATAAGTAAAATACGGATAAATAGGATTATTTTTTTTTTATAAAATTTACTTCAGTAAAATACGGATAAATAGGATTATTTTTTTTTATAAAATTTTCTTCTGGAAATTATTTTATGATTATAAACAAGCTTCTGTCCAAGTTTGGTAGAAATCCTAGAAAGTTATTCAAATTTTAAAAACATTAACCACAGAGTGAATATTTGTGGATGCCACTGACGACGACGCCGTCGACGGAATGTGTGATCACTATGTCTCGCTTTTGCGACAAAAGTCGCAGACTCGACAAAAAGGATACCTGATGAGGATGGCAATTAAGTCCTAGTTCCATACGACCAGTTAACCTAAACACCTTTTATATAATAAGGAACACAGACTCAGCTCTGTGATTCTTTTCTAAGAATACACTCACTATTTAAATTACAAGCATGTGTGAGCTTCTTTAAAAGTACAAAAATAAATGCTGAAAAAAGTATTCCATAACAAAAAATATCATCATACATTGAGTAAACCAATTCTAGATATATAACTCTAAAAACATGTTCATAGAAAATGGAATTCATTACAAAGGATTATAATAAGATATATACTGGATTTGTCCTGGACCCGACTGATTTTAATTATTCATTTACTGTTATCTGTGTTTATCCCTTTTCAATTCCTTGTTATCAGTTATAAGCCAAATCAATTTGCTGTTTTGCTGTTATTGGAACCCCCCTTGCCCCCCCCCTCGTTTATGTACATCACTGATTAATAAGTAATTAGTCAGATTATAACACAGATTTGTTTATATAACAATAATCAGCCTTTTGATTTCTATAAGTGTTCATAGCCTGTCCCCTTAGGGTGTCTATTTAGCAATATGATTGTATAACTATTAAAATTTACAATTCACTTAAACACTACAAAAAAATGCATTTTTTCAAAGTTTCTAATTGGATTATTGAAACAAAGCTTGGAAATAAACAAGGTATCCTGAAATGTGCAAAACTTGACGTATTCTACCTACATTAACCTACATATATAAAGAATTGGTGGAGAAAAGGAAGAAATTGAATTTTCAATCTTCAGGAATGACTCTCAATGGTTATCTGTATTAAATGTATATATTTAGCTATAATACTATTAAACTACAACAGATTTTGACTATTTTGTGTAAAAATAAGCTTGAAAAATCATATTACCCATTATTGCCCAGTATTACCCGTTTCTGAGAGTATTTCCCAGCCTGGGAAATACTTTGCCAACCCTAATATTAGCAATATTTTGCACATCATATGGATGTTTTCATATTTTTAAGGAAAGTCAATTGGAATGTATTTTTTTTTAATCATTCTAATTCTACGACTTCTAGTAAGTAAGTATAGTAAAATAAAAAAATATATAATGTCTATTATAGTTTTTTAGCTAAATTAAATATACTGCTAAAAAGGAACGTTCAAGAATATTTTATATGATGCGAATCCTTGTTCACTGTAGAAGACATTTTTGTTACTTCTAGGTGTGGCTTGTCTATTAAGGCTAATTTATACTGTAGGGTAAACAAAATAGAAGAAGTCAAAACTGTTATATCTCTTTCACCAACAATGATTTTTAATCCCCACAATTTTAATTTTTTGCAAAATGCAAAAATGATAACTGCCAGGGGAAACCTTGGTTAGGTTGCTGTCTCTGAAAATAACCTAACACCGAGGGGGCGGAGCCAAATAATCTCCATGGAAATGAGATATGCCAATGCTTATACAACTGCATACCAAATATCATTGACTTACCACTAGTGGTTCCCCATAAACTGACCTAATCACAAACTAATATATGTAAACTAAACAAAAGTTTCAAAGTCAATAGACCATGACTGAGGGGGCAGGGCCAAATAATCTCCATGGAAATGAGATGTGCCAGTGCTAATACAACTGCATACCAAATATCATTGACCAACCACTAGTGGTTCACCTTAAACTAGACCTAATCACAAACTAACATTGTTGACGCCGCCACCGCCACCGGAAACAGCATACCTATGTCTCGCTTTTTGACTCCATCAAGGCGAGAAAAAAATGGCAATACTTGTAAACTATGTGAAACATCCAAAGTCAATGAATCATGACTAAAGGTTCAGGACCATATAATCTCGGTGGAAATGAGAAATGCCATACTTATACAACTGCATTCCAAATATTGTTAACTTATATAAGACAAGTTGTTCAACATAAACTGATGAGTTTGTTCTTATGTTGTGCATTTACACCACTGTCCTAGGTTAGGTGAGGATTGAGCCTTACAAACATGTTTAACCCTTTCAAATTCTTTAATATGCCAAGTCAGGAGCCTGTAATTCAGTGGTTGTCTTTAGTTCGTGTCCGTCATATTGTTTTTCCTAAATTTTATTGTTATAAATTAGGCCCCAAGATTTCTCCTCTAAATTGTTTTACATTTTGTCATGTCTGGGCCTTTTATATAGCGGACTATATAATATAGGTTTTTCTCATTGTGGAAGGCCATCTGGTGACCTATAATTGCTTATATCTTTGTCATTAGTATTATTTATACCATATCTCCTGATTTTCATATTCAAAAATTTCAAAGTCAACGAACCATCACTGAAGCTTCTGGGCCATATCAAATCCATGAAAATGAGATATGATAATGGTAATACTAATACAACTTCTTTTTATATATCAATGATATACAATTAGTGGTTCCCCTCAAGCTGACCTAATCACAACTTTAACATGTAAACTATAAGTTTCAAAATTAAAAGACCATGGGTGAAGGGGGCTGCCTCAAATTATCTCCATGGAAATGGTTCCCCTCAAACTGACCTAATTAGAAACTTTAACATTTAAACTAAGCAAAAGTTTCACAAGTCAATAGACGAGCGGACAGGACCCAATAAACTCCCTGGTAATGAGATGTGCAAATGCTTCTTCATCTGTATACCAAATATCATTGACAAACAATTAGTGGTTCCCCTTAAACACAAAATTTAACAGGTTGTTGACGCTGACACTCTTGCCGTGGAAACAGCACACTTACCTTTAACCATCGCTACTTTCTTGAGGCGAGCAAAAAATGATCAAATAAGCAACCAAATCTTTGTTAATTCATTAATGGTGACCCTTTTATAAAAAACATAACTACTTTTTTTAACATTGTAATGCCTTAAATATTTAGTATAAATAAAGAAATAAAATGAAATACTAACAAGTATAAATTTCAGTAAAAATTTAAGACCAAATTATAATTTCAATTTCAATTTAATGTAAATGAAAAAATAGTGCATATAGAAAATACTGCAGGTTAAAAAACTGTAGTTAAAAATCTGGTCTTGAAGGGATGTAATAAGATTAAAATATATAACTTAGCTAGCCAAAAAAAAGGGAATGATAAATTTTGTAAATGGAAAGAGTTTTTGTAAAATTACTTTTTACATGTATGTGTATTCTACTCATTGCAGCACCAACTTTTTAATATAAAAACAGTGGTACTACAAAATAATACCCCCCCCCCCCCCCCAAGACTGCCCCTCCCCCCTCTTTTTTTCACCTCTTGCAAAGTCATGCATGATTTGCTTAGGTAGACCCAAAAAAATAATTCAGATAAAGAAATGAAATAGGAAGTGCAACAGACCAAAGGACAGACTCCATTCATTACTGTTTACCTCTGGTTTAGTAAGGGGGTGTAATACTGTTGAAATTAGACATCCTAGCTTAGAATGACTGTAGCAACGGGTAGTTTAAATTGCCAATGTGGTTTCACTTAAGATTTTTGAAAACATAATGCTAACAATAGTCCAAAACTCCTTTTGGCAATTTGGAACAATAGGGCTTAAAAATCTTACCCATGTCCCATATACTGGTAGGTTCTCAGGGTCTCTGTCTGCCCTTAACTTATCTACTAATTTATATTAATATCATCATCAAGTAATTTTCTCATAATTTATATGGAAATACATTTTTCTTCAGGAAAAGGAATAGTGTTTATTTCCTCATATTGCCATGGCGTAAATGTTTTTTTCATTGTTACTGTTTTTTCGATAAGGTCTATACGTTCATGCTGTAATTGATGAAGAAAGTCACATGACCCTTTTAATGACTGTATGTCCTCCTGAGGCAGTGATGGGTTTAATGTTATGTGATTAAGTACCATCCAAATCTGTATGATAGCAGACATATCTAATTTAGCCTCTGGATATCTATACCTTCTCCACAGTGGAATAGGATCGCCTTTATTTCTTAAAAGTATATCATTGTCAATGTCATACATATAAATGTCAAAATGCATTCCACTCAAAGCAATGGTTGGAATGAGTGACACTGGCAAACTGTCCTTCCTGTGTTTCAACTGATAATGTTTTTGATAAAATGAAAATGTAATACACTGAGCTACAAACTGTGAAATGTTTTGAGAAGACCTCAATAGTTCCTTCTGTTTTTTTAATTCGATTAATTGCTTTTCATCAAATTCTGCTTCAAAGGCATGGTCATCTCTTGTCAGCCAGTAATTTCTGTCCTCTTGTTGCGGTTGAATTATATTACATTTTCCACCAAGGGAATAAACTATAATATCAGGATATCCATAAAACAACATTTCACTTCCTGAAAAGAAATTTACAATTAACTAAAAGCTTATAGAAACCTGAATCGCTCATTTGACTTTCTAAACAGATGATAATATCTGTTAACAAATTTAACTTTGGAATGCTTTTGTTTTTAATTGGGTAGGATTGAGAACCTTGCATACATCATCCCTGCCAATAGATATAAGAAGATGGTATGAGTGCCAATAAGACAACTCTCCATCCCAATCAAAATTTATAAAAGTAAACCATTATAGGTCAAAGTACGGTCTTCAACACAGAGCCTTGGCTCACAACGAACAGCAATTATAAAGGGCCCCAAAAATTACTAGTGTAAAACCATTCAAAGGGGAAAACCAACGGTCTAATCTATATAAAATAACGAGAAACGAGAAACACTTATGAACCACATCAACAAACGACAACTACTGAACATCAGATTCCTGACTTAAAACAGGTGCAAACAATTGCAGCGGGTTTAAATGTTTTAATGGTACCAAACCTTCACCCATATCTGAAACAATAGTGTAACATCACAACATATAAAGACACACTATAAATTATCAATTGAAATGGCTTAACTCAATCAAAAGACATATTAACACAAGAGAACATACACTGAACAAATAAATTTGATCTATGATACAATGTAAATACAAAATAAATAAACTAAGGGAAGAATAATTAGAGTAACATGTTATACCGCTATGACATGTTAAACAATTTAAGAAAAACAATATGCTTGAACGAAAATATCAGCCATTTGCAATTACTTCAAACACAGGTAAATGAAAATAATTTTGTTGATAGGTATACGTGTACAGTTCAAATGGAGAAAGGAAATATTTTTACAAAATTAATAATTTTGATGTTCCTAGTATGAAGAAGTGAAAATTTATAGTAATACCAAACACTTATCAAAGCTGGTATCATAATAGACCAGATGTAACCCTGAATAACATTAAATAATAAAAAAACATTACAATTAGTATCAACAGGTCAAATAAACAAGAAAGTACAATTTGAGAGTACTCACAGTTACTGACAGTTAGTCAAAAGCCAAAAACAGTTAATAATAAAAAATCATGCATCAGAGTCTAAAATCAACTAAAACAAGTTTGTTTTAAATTAGCCTAACAGTTTCAGATAAGAAGTAAAAAAAATTAATGTAATTATCTTTTAGTTTTGAAGGGTATCTATGTGTGACCAGTGTGACCATTGCCACAATGCTTGCCACTTGACTGACATTTAACATAGGGTTGTAAGTAGAGTTTTTCAAAACGTTGTGAATTTTAAAAGAAAAATGTTTATGAAAATGGGACAATCATAATAAAATAGTCCCTCAATCACTATGTTTTTCATTTCAAAAATCCACCATTCATTTATTGATTGATTGATTAATTGGTGTTTAACGCCACTTTCAGCACTATTGTACTATTTTGTGACAGTCAGTTTTTATTGGTGGAGGAAGACAGAGTGCCCAAAGAGAACCACAGACCTTTGGTAAGAAATCCATCTGAAGACTTTTCACAAAAGTTCTTTCCAATATACAAATAAGCAGCTGTGGTACGAGTTTGCTTATTATTTCCAAGTTTGATAATAAGGCAAGAACTTTAGAGAGGAGATGAAAATGTGATTTCCAATAGGATTTCAATTGCTACTTTGTACCTGTTCCAACACTGCCATCTTGCTTGTCACCAAATCAACATTCGATGAGGATCTTTGTAGAGGGTTTTATAGTCCTTAATCTTGTAAAGTTTCTTAAAATATTCTTAAAGAGAGGATGAATTTAATATTGTCTAATAAGAATGCTTCAAATGGCTCTTATTTCATCCAATAAGAAGAAAATGAGGCCTTTTTGTAAACAATCTTCATATATTAATTTTAAAAAAGTGCCAGGTGACTCAATGATGAGCTTAAAAGAGGCTGTTGTTTCTCATAAAATCTTGGCAAATTTAATTATAATGTTATTGGTATATACAAAGCAACATATGAATAGCCTGTTCATTTTATTGGACATTTAAAAATTAATTCTCAGAAATTACCAGACAAAATGTGCAGAATATCAGTTTTTGGCAGATTTTTTATTTACTCGAATCAAGCCAAAGCTAGTATCTTACCTAATTTTTGTTTTATTCATTTATATTTTTGAGTGTGTTCAATTTTTCTTCAATGAAGTTTCGCTATAATAAATTAAGATGATATATGAAGGAAAATGTATTATGTTTGTTTTAATTCTGATTTGCCAAAGTACATGAAGTATAATTTCATTGGCTAAGCTTGTTGTCTCATGCTCATACACTCAGTATTAGTTCTTTCCCAACTTATGACTTCTGTTAGATTTACAATAAGGAAATAAAAACATGAACTTGTCAGTTACCAATTTTGCACAATGAAGGAGTTCTCGAAAATCTTGTCAGTAACCAATTTTGCACAATGAAGGAATTCTCAAAAATCAGGGGACAAGATATCATTGCTGAACGACAGAACATACGGTATGGGTTTTCTCATTGTTGAAGGCCATACAGTGACATATAATTACTATATCCTCGTCATTTGAACTTTGGTGGATAGTTGTATCATTGGCAATCATATCACATCTCCTTCTTTTCAAACTATATGATTTAATGGTATAACTTACCAATTCCAGAATTGTGGTAAGGTATTTTTTCTTTACACATATCACATGGACACATCCTGTGTATATTTCTTGATCTGTCATCATTTAAAACCGAGAAATGTGACCCAAATCTGGCACTGTTTGATATCCTTGGCATTGTCAGTCTTGAAAAAAGGTGATTTGCCATAATAACTATTTCATATAATTCTTCATTAACATCATCATCTTCATCGTCCTCATTTACAAAGATCTTTTGTAAGCATCTTTCATGAAAATCTGTAATGAAAAAGATGCATCAATAACAATCAATTTGTATCTTATCAGGATTTGTACAAAGGGAATAATACTATCAAGACAGGCTATGTGAACTACAGGTGTGTGACAAGATATTTTTAATACATTGTATATGTATATATTGAATACACTAAAGTAAGTGTATTCAGTATATACATATATATATTAAAAAATATTGACTCTCACCTGTGGTCTGTACCATATATATGTTGTTTATTTTTGTTTGAACCTTTATTCTTTTCAGAGCAGTCTGGTGACAGTGGTTTGTCTGGTCTGTTGTACTGTCAAGGTATTTGGTAATTCTTTTCATCATTTTATGTATCATAAACATTATAATAATGTATCAACAAAGTGAATTGGTCATGAAAAACAGGTCTTTCATTTCAAATATGTAGCAAACTTGGGTCAGTTAAATATTTTTTAAAAGCTATTACAGATTGAAATGTTGACAAATAAATGAATTGCTAGCACCGGCACTTGTCTCTGAAAAAAAAATCCTATATACCTTAATATGTGTTATATTAAGGTATATATAGGATTATTTTTTTAAACTCATACCGTATAGTCAGCTGTAAAAGGCCCCGATATGAAAAATTTGAAACAATTAAATAGAAAAAACTAACAGCCTAATTTATAACAAAACAATTTACGAAAAACAAATATGACAGACATGAACCAACGACAACCACTGAACTACAGGCTCCTGACTTGGGACAGGCACATAAAGAATGTGGCGGGGTTTAACATGTTTGTGAGCACTCAACCCTCCCCTAACCTGGGATAGTGTTGCAACAGCACAACACAAGAACAAACTATAACAAGAGGCTGTCAGAGTGACAGCAAACCAGATTTCCTGCAGAGGTCGAACCCTGAACAGTTGAGCAAGTATGGACACTACATTTAGCTTAAAACAGCTCTGAATTTGGATTGTGATTGAATATTTGACACAGCATAGGTTTGTGACACAAAATGAATGTGCTCAAAGAACTGAAAAATTTGAAATTGGACATTTCCCTATTATGGTCCAATATCCAAAATCTAAGTACATTGTTAGAATCAGCATATCAAAGAACCCCAAGAATTTAATTTTTGGTGAAATCAAACAAAAGTTTAATTTAGGACTGTTTGAACCTCAATGTGGACCAATTTGATAAAGGAGCCCACAGTCCAAAATCTCTAAATACATGGTCAGATTCAGCATTTCAAAGAACCCCATAAATTCATTTTTTGTTGAATCAAACAAAGTTTAATTTTGGAAAACTATTTTTAAAAGAAAAATGAAGAAATTATTGACCATAAAATTAATAAAATCATATTTGATCATATTTGGACAAAACAATATTTGATTGTGTTTTAATAAACATTTCAATATATTAAAAACAAAGCTGATTGTAGTAAGGCATTTATCATAATAATCAATATTTTATCAACATAAAAGACCAGGATATAAACCAAATGAGTGTAAGACTGACAGGCCTACCAGACTGTGCCTGATGTGCAGAGTCTGAAGAGACTTTGGCATTGATGAAAACTAGAACCTAAGTCCTGTGACTAGACATGACTAGATTCATTTGTTCTCGACTCATAATTTTTGAAAAGGATATCAAGAGATATAAATCAAATTCTGTTCTTAATCTATTGGTTTAATTCATTTTGTTCATTGGATCAACCTAAAATGCGAAAAAAAAGGTTAATATAAAGGTTTTTTTTTTGGACAAGTTACATTCCATTCAGACAAGTAAGTTTTGGTATGTACTTGTCCTATTGGGCAAGTTGAAAAAAAAGTTATTGTAGAGGCCTGATTGGGATATATAAACACCATAACACAGTGCCAAAGGAACATCACCGTCCAAAAAAGGAAAATTAACAATAGGAAAAAAAAATTTCTCTTTTGTCGTAAATTTTTGTGTAGAGTTTCTGGTGTAACACTGATATATCTAAATCTAGGAAAGGACAGTTATTGCTGTTAATATTTGACTTCTTTAAAGTAAGTTCCTTTGGGTAAATTTCAGCAGTATATTTAGAGAAATCTTGATTTTTTAACGAAAAAATATCATCAAGATAAAGGTAAGTGTTGTTGAATTTATCAATTGAATGGAATTTAGACTGTTCTTTACTGAGTTTGGCAATGAACTGTGATTCATAACAGTATAGGAACAAGTCTACTATTAAAGGGGCACAATTGGTGCCAATAGAAATACCTACAACCTGTTGATAAACTTTATTGCCGAAACGCACATGTACATAAATGTTGTCAAGGAGAAAATTTAGGGCTTATATCATCTCATCACATCTCCAGTAAGCATATCTAGCATATTTACCTTTCTCTTTTGAGAAAAAGGCTTTATATGGGTTGCAGCAATAAATTTGCTTTCAAAATAAGTATTTTGTAAATAAGAACCAAGGATCTGGAAATTTATTCACAACATTTCAGTCATTTTGAGATACTTGAAATTACATGAATTAGGGGCCATTTTTTCTGGCAATTTTACTATCAATTTTATTGACGATTCACCCCAGTTCAGGCGGAAACCCAGTTGAAATTAAACAAAAGGAATGGAACTCTTTATAAGAGAAGGTAAAAAAAGCCAAGTTGGTAAATTTGAATTGTTTACATCTTTTTCTATGGGCTTTAAAAGGTTAATAAATGTGCATAATTTAGGATTTTATGCATCTTATATATGTGTTTTTACTTAAATTATGGTATGGAGCTTCGAGATATTTGTAAGCTTTTAAATTACAGACACATTTTCACAAAACAGTTGAATGGAGTACATGTAGGTGCAAATAAATGTTGATCTTTTTTGTGCATAAGCATAAATTCCGCTGAAAAAAATTCCAAAGAAAGATTAATTGATTGATTGATTGGTGTTTAAGGCCACTTTCAACACTATTGTGCTATTTCATGGCAGTCACTTTTTATTGGTCGAGGAAGCTGGAGTGCCCGGAGAGAACCACCAACCTTCGGTAGGAAAACTGACAATCCTAGTCAATTAAGATTGGAGTCGATTGCACCTGGCCTGTGCGGGATTCTAACTCACAACCTCAGTGTTGACTGGCTAGTGATACAGTAGTGCAACTACTTAGACCACTCGGCCACCGAGGCCCCCAAAGAAAGATAATAGATTGATCTTTTTAAAGCATTAATTTGCATGTCTGCCCCCGGCAACAGTTTTTTGAGAAAAAATCTTAAAAATGGTCAATTTTTTCATTGAAAAGAGAAAGTCGAGTACACCTTTTTATGTTCAGGCGTGTTTGAGTTGACTATTCTGTCTTGAAAACATATAAAAGAAAAATATTTGATACATGACATCTTGCTTCAGATTCTATTATTTTTATATATTTAGGCTCAAGGTTGATATAATAACATTAAAAACTTACAGTACTAAGAAATGAAATATATGGGTCAAGTGAAATATCTTTGTAATGAGTCATAACAACAGAGTAGGTGTGTTCGAATTACAAATTTTTACTTAACATGCTTAAAGTACTTGACAACAGACTTTTCAACTGGATCTTAAAAATGCATAACTTCAAAAAAACTTCAATTTTTGTGTGTGATATCTAGGGTAATCAGTCAAGGGTCTAACTTAAATAAGTTATTAGAGAAAAATAACATACATTTGTTATTGAGGGCTAAAAAATCAAAAATCTGTAATAACATATGTATGTTACATGTTTCAAAGGGGCATTATACATCCTTAATTTTGTTAAATTGTGTACTAGTTCTATTGATATTATAATTGTCTTTATGTATATTAAACTTTAGAAAGATATAACAGCCCATAGTTTGCCAATCATGCATAACACACCCATGTTATCACAGAAAAAATATGCCTGTAATAACTAAAGGGTGTTATTACAGCTTCTCTACATCTCTTCAAAGCCTTTTCTCCTACATATCTCACAATGTATTTTAATTAATTGTAATAAATAATGATAAGAGCATGTAATGAGGTTCTGCGCAAGCTTCCTAGTCATTCCCAAGTGTCTCATGTAATAAGTTAAATGCCTGTAATAACTAAGCCTTGTTATTACAGCTAAGTTATCACTTAAAAGCCTTGTCTCATTGATTTACCATGGTTGATAAAAAATGTATTAATTGAATTGGAAAATTAGTTTTCAAGGTTATGTATTAAGGTACTGCGCAAGTTTCAAGAATTCCCAATTGCCCACTGAAAATAAAAAAAATTATGGTACATTTAACTGATAACAAACATATGTTACTACAGATTAAGAGAAAGTATCCGTAATAACACATGTATGTTATTTTTCTCTAATAACTTCAAGTTACACCCTTGACTGGTAATTACTAGTCCTCAACCTCTGAAAATTTATAGTCTGCCCTTCCACGAAATAATTTTTTAAATATTTTTGAACTTTCGAAAATTCCCCCTGACATTTCCTATCAGACAATACTTTTAAGTTGATCAAATGCATAAAAGTACATTTAATGATGCTCAATAGCTAGTACATGTAGATACAATCATACATTTGTCTAGTAAGATACAAGAGCTAAATTGACAGTGCGTCATCACTACAATGGCTTCCATTTTTACGATTATAAAACTTAGGTGGCGTAATGGGGAGATAATTTTCATGAAGTAGAATCCTGACTTGAGTTACTTCATGAAATTCTTATCTTTTTTCTTAAATCATTTTAAGATTGATCTATGTAAGTACAATTGTGTATTATATGATTCACACCTAGATCTTGTAGAAATCCAGCTTTCATGGCTTGTATTACAAAATTTACATCAACATTGTCTGTCATTTTCCCATCCGTTACATGCTGTTCAAGAGCATTAAACCCATTTCTGTAGATCGAATTCAAATTAATAATTTTAGAGAAAGCCTCAGTGCTGTCATCAACAGTGTCCGGTTCTATCGTTTCAACATTTATATCTGTAATGATTTGCTCAATTTTGACATTAGCATTCGTAACGCTGGAACCTAACGTAAAGGCTTTTATGCGAAAAGGTTCAAACTGAATGTCTTTATACTCGGCAAGGGATTTGCTGATTCCAACAATAACATCTTCTTCCGTCCGACGTCGCAATTTGCTGTATTTTTTCGTAGATTCAATAGAAAAACATGTAAACCTCTCAATTTTCAGCTGAAGTATGGATCGTGCTTTTACATACTTTGACAGCTGCGACAACATGACTAACTTGAATTTTAGTTTAAACTACATTTTCTTTCTGGGGACATTTCAGGTAGGGAACAGAATCTATTGACACTTTAGTAAGATTGAATATTTTAATATTAGCTTAAGCTTCTTTAATTAGGAGCACCGTCAAAATGAGAACAAAATTTCACGTCTCTTGTATCTAATATTTTTGTTGTTTTGATATTATTGCAACTTGAAAATTTCGTAATACACAGGCCTACAGAACTGAGAAGGGGTCATAAACCTTAAACACAGTGACACATCAGTAAGGGAGCTACCATTTGATTTTTATTGGGGGGGGGGGGGGGGGGGGGTATGAATCAGCATATCAAAGAACCCCAAGAATTTAATTTTTGGTGAAATCAAACAAAAGTTTAATTTAGGACTGTTTGAACCTCAATGTGGACCAATTTGATAAAGGAGCCCACAGTCCAAAATCTCTAAATACATGGTCAGATTCAGCATTTCAAAGAACCCCATAAATTCATTTTTTGTTGAATCAAACAAAGTTTAATTTTGGAAAACTATTTTTAAAAGAAAAATGAAGAAATTATTGACCATAAAATTAATAAAATCATATTTGATCATATTTGGACAAAACAATATTTGATTGTGTTTTAATAAACATTTCAATATATTAAAAACAAAGCTGATTGTAGTAAGGCATTTATCATAATAATCAATATTTTATCAACATAAAAGACCAGGATATAAACCAAATGAGTGTAAGACTGACAGGCCTACCAGACTGTGCCTGATGTGCAGAGTCTGAAGAGACTTTGGCATTGATGAAAACTAGAACCTAAGTCCTGTGACTAGACATGACTAGATTCATTTGTTCTCGACTCATAATTTTTGAAAAGGATATCAAGAGATATAAATCAAATTCTGTTCTTAATCTATTGGTTTAATTCATTTTGTTCATTGGATCAACCTAAAATGCGAAAAAAAAGGTTAATATAAAGGTTTTTTTTTTGGACAAGTTACATTCCATTCAGACAAGTAAGTTTTGGTATGTACTTGTCCTATTGGGCAAGTTGAAAAAAAAGTTATTGTAGAGGCCTGATTGGGATATATAAACACCATAACACAGTGCCAAAGGAACATCACCGTCCAAAAAAGGAAAATTAACAATAGGAAAAAAAAATTTCTCTTTTGTCGTAAATTTTTGTGTAGAGTTTCTGGTGTAACACTGATATATCTAAATCTAGGAAAGGACAGTTATTGCTGTTAATATTTGACTTCTTTAAAGTAAGTTCCTTTGGGTAAATTTCAGCAGTATATTTAGAGAAATCTTGATTTTTTAACGAAAAAATATCATCAAGATAAAGGTAAGTGTTGTTGAATTTATCAATTGAATGGAATTTAGACTGTTCTTTACTGAGTTTGGCAATGAACTGTGATTCATAACAGTATAGGAACAAGTCTACTATTAAAGGGGCACAATTGGTGCCAATAGAAATACCTACAACCTGTTGATAAACTTTATTGCCGAAACGCACATGTACATAAATGTTGTCAAGGAGAAAATTTAGGGCTTATATCATCTCATCACATCTCCAGTAAGCATATCTAGCATATTTACCTTTCTCTTTTGAGAAAAAGGCTTTATATGGGTTGCAGCAATAAATTTGCTTTCAAAATAAGTATTTTGTAAATAAGAACCAAGGATCTGGAAATTTATTCACAACATTTCAGTCATTTTGAGATACTTGAAATTACATGAATTAGGGGCCATTTTTTCTGGCAATTTTACTATCAATTTTATTGACGATTCACCCCAGTTCAGGCGGAAACCCAGTTGAAATTAAACAAAAGGAATGGAACTCTTTATAAGAGAAGGTAAAAAAAGCCAAGTTGGTAAATTTGAATTGTTTACATCTTTTTCTATGGGCTTTAAAAGGTTAATAAATGTGCATAATTTAGGATTTTATGCATCTTATATATGTGTTTTTACTTAAATTATGGTATGGAGCTTCGAGATATTTGTAAGCTTTTAAATTACAGACACATTTTCACAAAACAGTTGAATGGAGTACATGTAGGTGCAAATAAATGTTGATCTTTTTTGTGCATAAGCATAAATTCCGCTGAAAAAAATTCCAAAGAAAGATTAATTGATTGATTGATTGGTGTTTAAGGCCACTTTCAACACTATTGTGCTATTTCATGGCAGTCACTTTTTATTGGTCGAGGAAGCTGGAGTGCCCGGAGAGAACCACCAACCTTCGGTAGGAAAACTGACAATCCTAGTCAATTAAGATTGGAGTCGATTGCACCTGGCCTGTGCGGGATTCTAACTCACAACCTCAGTGTTGACTGGCTAGTGATACAGTAGTGCAACTACTTAGACCACTCGGCCACCGAGGCCCCCAAAGAAAGATAATAGATTGATCTTTTTAAAGCATTAATTTGCATGTCTGCCCCCGGCAACAGTTTTTTGAGAAAAAATCTTAAAAATGGTCAATTTTTTCATTGAAAAGAGAAAGTCGAGTACACCTTTTTATGTTCAGGCGTGTTTGAGTTGACTATTCTGTCTTGAAAACATATAAAAGAAAAATATTTGATACATGACATCTTGCTTCAGATTCTATTATTTTTATATATTTAGGCTCAAGGTTGATATAATAACATTAAAAACTTACAGTACTAAGAAATGAAATATATGGGTCAAGTGAAATATCTTTGTAATGAGTCATAACAACAGAGTAGGTGTGTTCGAATTACAAATTTTTACTTAACATGCTTAAAGTACTTGACAACAGACTTTTCAACTGGATCTTAAAAATGCATAACTTCAAAAAAACTTCAATTTTTGTGTGTGATATCTAGGGTAATCAGTCAAGGGTCTAACTTAAATAAGTTATTAGAGAAAAATAACATACATTTGTTATTGAGGGCTAAAAAATCAAAAATCTGTAATAACATATGTATGTTACATGTTTCAAAGGGGCATTATACATCCTTAATTTTGTTAAATTGTGTACTAGTTCTATTGATATTATAATTGTCTTTATGTATATTAAACTTTAGAAAGATATAACAGCCCATAGTTTGCCAATCATGCATAACACACCCATGTTATCACAGAAAAAATATGCCTGTAATAACTAAAGGGTGTTATTACAGCTTCTCTACATCTCTTCAAAGCCTTTTCTCCTACATATCTCACAATGTATTTTAATTAATTGTAATAAATAATGATAAGAGCATGTAATGAGGTTCTGCGCAAGCTTCCTAGTCATTCCCAAGTGTCTCATGTAATAAGTTAAATGCCTGTAATAACTAAGCCTTGTTATTACAGCTAAGTTATCACTTAAAAGCCTTGTCTCATTGATTTACCATGGTTGATAAAAAATGTATTAATTGAATTGGAAAATTAGTTTTCAAGGTTATGTATTAAGGTACTGCGCAAGTTTCAAGAATTCCCAATTGCCCACTGAAAATAAAAAAAATTATGGTACATTTAACTGATAACAAACATATGTTACTACAGATTAAGAGAAAGTATCCGTAATAACACATGTATGTTATTTTTCTCTAATAACTTCAAGTTACACCCTTGACTGGTAATTACTAGTCCTCAACCTCTGAAAATTTATAGTCTGCCCTTCCACGAAATAATTTTTTAAATATTTTTGAACTTTCGAAAATTCCCCCTGACATTTCCTATCAGACAATACTTTTAAGTTGATCAAATGCATAAAAGTACATTTAATGATGCTCAATAGCTAGTACATGTAGATACAATCATACATTTGTCTAGTAAGATACAAGAGCTAAATTGACAGTGCGTCATCACTACAATGGCTTCCATTTTTACGATTATAAAACTTAGGTGGCGTAATGGGGAGATAATTTTCATGAAGTAGAATCCTGACTTGAGTTACTTCATGAAATTCTTATCTTTTTTCTTAAATCATTTTAAGATTGATCTATGTAAGTACAATTGTGTATTATATGATTCACACCTAGATCTTGTAGAAATCCAGCTTTCATGGCTTGTATTACAAAATTTACATCAACATTGTCTGTCATTTTCCCATCCGTTACATGCTGTTCAAGAGCATTAAACCCATTTCTGTAGATCGAATTCAAATTAATAATTTTAGAGAAAGCCTCAGTGCTGTCATCAACAGTGTCCGGTTCTATCGTTTCAACATTTATATCTGTAATGATTTGCTCAATTTTGACATTAGCATTCGTAACGCTGGAACCTAACGTAAAGGCTTTTATGCGAAAAGGTTCAAACTGAATGTCTTTATACTCGGCAAGGGATTTGCTGATTCCAACAATAACATCTTCTTCCGTCCGACGTCGCAATTTGCTGTATTTTTTCGTAGATTCAATAGAAAAACATGTAAACCTCTCAATTTTCAGCTGAAGTATGGATCGTGCTTTTACATACTTTGACAGCTGCGACAACATGACTAACTTGAATTTTAGTTTAAACTACATTTTCTTTCTGGGGACATTTCAGGTAGGGAACAGAATCTATTGACACTTTAGTAAGATTGAATATTTTAATATTAGCTTAAGCTTCTTTAATTAGGAGCACCGTCAAAATGAGAACAAAATTTCACGTCTCTTGTATCTAATATTTTTGTTGTTTTGATATTATTGCAACTTGAAAATTTCGTAATACACAGGCCTACAGAACTGAGAAGGGGTCATAAACCTTAAACACAGTGACACATCAGTAAGGGAGCTACCATTTGATTTTTATTGGGGGGGGGGGGGGGGGGGGGGGGGGGGTATGAATGAAACATTTTGTCCTGCATTTTTTTTAGTTGTAATCTCTGTCCTGCCTTTTCATTTTATATATTGGTTTATCCTGGTATTTTTAACATCCTGCCTATTTTTTTTGCCAAGTTGCTCATCCTGCCTTTTTTTTTTACTCAAAACTCCTGTCCTGCCTTGTTTTCATATTTCGTCCTAGCACCCCCCCTCCCCCCATAAAAATCAAATGGTAGCTCCCTAATACAAATCCTTGGACACATATTGAAACATTGCAAGATTTGGTAAGATTGGTTGATTGAAAGTAGACATGAATCTGTAGTGTGAAACATATCAATATGAATGATAAATACAATTAATTAACAATAAAATACTTTAAAGTCATTATAGCTTGAATTGATAAATAATTAAAATATTAAATAAATCTTAAGCAATAGATTATAATGGGGTGAACTACTATAAAACAGTAAACAATCTTGATTCTGCACCTGTACTTGGATTTGCAGACAGTTCGGTTCCTTACGAGTTACACACTGATGCGTCTGGGGAAGCACTTGGAGCAGTCCTATAACTGAAACAGGGAGACCTGATGCGTGTCATCAGCTATATGCCAGTTGTGGTTTGAACAAGACAGAAAAAAACTATACCCGCCACATACGAGGGAATTCCTTGCACTAAAGTTCAAGGACTACCTTTACGGCCAACAGTTTACAGTTCTCACTGACAACAATCCAGCAACCTATGTTTTGACCACCGCCAAGTTGGATGCAACAGGACATCGCTGGTTGGCAGCACTTGCAGCATTTAACTTTGTTATATTATTATAATAGTATAGACCAGGAAAGAGTAATGCAGATGCAGATGAACTAAGCCGTTTTCCTATTGGCATTGAAACCGTTCAAGCCATCTGTAATTCCACAGTCTCAAAGTCCCACATTGAAAACCTGACTCTCACGCTAGAGATTGTACTAGATGATTATGACCTAAGAGGAACAGATACCGGAAATCTTTTTGACTGGGAAAAGGCTCAGCATTTAGATCCTGAAATACACCGTATTATCGTGTAGATCAGAGACAACAAGAAACCATCAAGTAAAGAGGTTGGACAAAACCACACGAAGCAGATAGATGGAGTACTTCATCGAGTAACTTTTATAGATGAAGAAGAAAGACACCAATAAGAATTGCCTATAGCACATGTACAAACTGTAGTTAAAGCTATCTACAACGACATGGGTCATCCTGGTAAAGATCGTACATTATCACTGATAAGAGACCGGTTCTACTGGCCAATAATGCATAGTGATATTGCAATGAAACTTGGATTGCAGAGTGTGGTAGATGTATCAGAAGGACGACTCCTACTAACCAACGAGCTCTTTTAGTGAACATAACAGCTAGTTATCCGTTGGAATTAGTCTTCATGGACTTCTTGACACTGGGACCACCAAAGGGAGACCAGCATCATATGTCGGTTATCACAGACCACTTTACCAGATTTGCCTTTGCAATTCCAACAAGAAACCAGTTAGCCAAAAACTACAGCGGAAGCATTTTTTAATAACTTTATCGTCCACTACGGGATACCAGACAGAATCCACTCAGATCAGGGATCCAACTTTGAGAGTAAAGTGATTAAAAAATTGTGCAACATCCCTTTCATTGCAAAATCTAGAACTACTAGTTACCATGCTATGGGCAATGGGATGTGTGAACGCTTCATCAGGACACTGTTGGAGTTGTTAGAATCGTTGGAGCCAGGCAAGAAAACTTATTGGAAGGATTACATCGCCCCACTTATTCACGCCTTTAACTGTATACGTCATTACAGCACTGGACAGACACCTTATCGCTTATGTTTGGTAGAAATCCCAGACTGCCTATCGACGTAGTATTTGACTTAAGAGAGAACGAGAAGGAACCAAGCTCAAAGTACACCAAAGAGTTGCGACACAGGATAGCCCAAGCTCACGAATTAGCCACTATAGCAGCAGATACCACAAAAGCCACACAGAAGGAAGCTTACAATATGAAAGTCAGAGGTGGGTACCATTAAACCAGGAGACAGAGTGCTGGTGAAGATTGTCGCTTACAAAGAAGGGAAACACATGTTGGCCAACAGATGGGAGCATGACCCTTACCATGTTATTAGTCAACATAACAGTGACATACCAGTATTAACAGGTCAGAAGGAGAATGGAAAAAGTAAAACTAGGATCCTTCACAGGAACCTGCTCCTACCTATAAAATTTATAAGTGACACGCCAACACTTGAACCTAGGATAACCAGTAATAGACCAACAAATGCCAAAAGGAGATATAAACAGAAGGAACCGATACCCAAGACCGACTACTCTGAAGATACAACATCTGATGAGGAATCAAACTGGGGATATGTCACCAGAGATGAACAAGGAGACAACGATTCAACCATCACTGAGGATTTACCCAACGTTCAGCAGACTGATGAGCCACAGAATACAGAGACAGGAAAAGACGCCCAATCTTCAGCAGACACTACCAGTGTTGATGAAGACCCGAATTTTGAAGACGAAGGAAGCGCTTTGCACGATGAGATTGTTCAAGCAGATACACTTGAACCTGAGCTTATTTTGCTTCTACACTTTGCTTAGCTGCTGCATGTAGTTTTTTTTTAATGATTTACTGATTTGCTTCATTTACTAATATTTATGAATTTTAAGTAGAAGTATATTTTTACATGGGAACAGAATATTTATCACAATTAAGTTTATGTGATGCATAAACATTATACATGCAAGACAAACGTTTCAGTTGAGTCTTTGGGACAGAAAATATAGATGTAAATGAGAATGACAATATCATTTTACTTAGAATGGTATACAGTGCAAATGTTTTTGTTCATAGACATCTTAAAGTTATCTTTCTTTGCACTAATATTTAAAGTATTTTATGATTGTGTATTGCAGGGTCTTTATACGTGATTAAGTTGTTATGTTGGTTGTCATCTGAGACCTTTTTAAAGAACCTCTATATATTTCCAACCGAATGTTTGTTATCCACATGCCTATATTCACCAGGTTTCATAATTGTATGTATGCATGTTTCATTATGTATATTCATAACGCCTCCTTTCCAATAATATCACTAGAGTATGCTTGCACAAGACATAGATAGCATTGAAAAAGTTCAAAGATGGGCTTCCCGTTTTGTGATCAACAAATAAAGAAACACCTCAAGCGTTGGTAACATGCTGCAACACCTTGAATGGCACAGCCTCTCTGACAGAAGAAAAGAACACAAACAAGTTGCAATATCTAAAAACAACAAATTATTTCCGCAATTAAGACATTCAAATTCGAACAGTTTCCAAATCCCATCCTGCAAAACATGGGTACTGTACTGGACCCTATATTATTTCTCATTTATATCAATGATTTCTCAGAATATCTAACACATAGCAAATTAAGACTCTTTGCTGATGACAGCATCATATATAGAGAAATCAAATCTAAAGCAGACTGGAATAAATTATAACAAGATTTAGACGCTGCAGCAAGGTGGGAAGCAGATTGGCTTATGGCGTTCCATCCAGACAAGTGCACCAAACTCACAATATCTCATAAAAGAAACCTTATATGCACGAATACATCCTATATAACCACATTCTTTAATCTGTTACATCTGCTAAATATTTTGGCGTTACTTAACAATAAAATCTAAAATGAATCCTACATTTTGAGAACATTATATTGATCTGAAATATATCTTTAGGATTCCTTAAAACTAAATTTAAAAATATCAAACACAGAGATTAAATCCAGAGCATACCAAGCAATAGTCAGAGACCTAAACTAGACTACAGCTGCAGTTTATGGGGCCCTCACACAAAAGATGTTACACATGACGATCAGCTAGGTATATATGTTATAACTACAATAACAGCAGTAGTGTTACAAATATGATAAACAACTTACAGCTACCTAAATTAACTGAACGCCGCGTAAGTATGTAAAAAATGTGAGAAGACTTTTAAAACCGAACAGAGACTTAAATTCTACAAATACCAATATTGTCAAATCTGTGCCCACATTTTTACTACGTTCTAACGTTTTAGAACCCATGTCTGAAAAAAAAACATATAAAAAAGTAATAACAAATTTAAAACTACCACATCGTCAACAGAAAAAATGAGTACTTGACCAAGTGAATCGAATATCAAGCCTTCACGTGCTCAAGGTGACATTCATGTTTCATCTGTGTCATCTAGTCATAGCATTCAGTCAATGTAAACCTTCACTACAGAACAATAAGTATCAACAAACTAGTCAAATTAATCAGCCAATTTGTACTTGGAGACCTGTATTACAAAACATTAGTTTTAAACAAGCAGACATTAGTTGTTCATCAGTGGTTTAAACAAAAAACCCACCACCAAACAACAATGATGATGTACAAATGATTGGAGTTGATATAGAAACTTATTATTTCATACCAGTTAATATAACTTGGCAAATGAATGCATGCTCATCACTGAACATTCCTGTACTGGCAGCTTCTTTGCCATTGTATGACAAATCCGTTGAGAGAAATATAGGGACACCACAAACTTGGAAAATATTAGAGGAGATGGAAATTGCTTTTTCAGAGCCGTATCATATCTATTGACTGGATCAGAAGATCATCACGCCTCTTTGAGAAGAACAGATGTGAACCATATTCTCATCTTGGGAACTCAGTTATCTACAGGTTTACCTC